TTATCAAAACAAGGATTACAAGTACTTCTTTTACAATGAATGGCCAAATGAGAACCTGTGCCATTTTTGACATTATACATATGCTCCTGGATTCTTATGTTTATGCACCGACTAGTTTGCCCAATGTAAACCTTGTTGCGAGAACACGGAATCTTGTATGCGGCAATATTTCAACAATTGATGGATTTCTTCTTGTGTTTTACCGCACACTTTTGCTGCCTGTCAAATTTTTCCCCTTTTGATTTACTTTGCACCGCTGAACATACCTGTCGTAACTTGTGGCGAATGCTTAATACATCAACTTAGTACTACCCACATTTTTAATCCACTCCGACAACTTATGCACAAAAGGAATCACAGCTAAATTCTTTCGAGTTACGGTGTGATTGCCTTCTGTTTCCTTCTGCCGAGCCTTTATTTCCTTGCTACTTTTCCGCAGGCCCTCGTTCAGAGTATCTTCCTTCTCTTGAAACTTGCTTTGTGAAGCTTTGTTGAATTTTGTGGTAATAAGTTTAAACAATGAAGACTGAATGCGTGCAACTCTAATGCCAATTTTTACAACTTTCGAGTGGTCAGACGAAAATGCAAGCAATGGCTTATCTCCTCTAGGGCAATACTCTCAATAGAGGTGATCTCGTGCCGAAAAAAATAATCTTAAGTCTAAAAGTTACAACTCATTTTCAGCCGGCAATTGACACGTGAAACTGAGCCCTCGAAACATTCCCTAGGCTCTTTTGGAACATCACTTACTCTTTTTTTTTTTTTTCACATCACAAGTCTTGACAATGAGCCCCGCCGCGGTGGTCTAGTGGCTAAGGTACTGACCCGCAGATCGCGGGTCGATTCCCGGCTGCAGCGGCTACATTTCTGATGGAGGCGGAAATATTGTAGGCCCGTGTGCTCAGATTTGGGTACACGTTAAAGAACCCCAGGTGGTCAAAATTTCCGGAGCCCTCCACTGCGGCGTCTCTCATAATCATATTGTGGTTTTGGGACGTTAAGCCCCACATATCAATCAATCACTCTTGACAATAACTAAAAAGTTATCTTCATAATGCACAACCTTAACAACAAGGCCTCTGATTCTCTGTTCTGCCTTTTTATCCGCATAGACTAAAAAATGTTACTAACAACTAGCGCAATGCTGGATCTAATGCACCCTCCTGATTTCTGTAGAAAAACATTTTCGTCCCAGCCGACAAACGGGGAATTCAAATAAATGGATAACACTTCCTTGAATAACTTTCGACAGAAACAAGGCATTTGTTAATGAACAACTGTTCATCATTCTCATGAGTAATACAACTGTTTATGCACTGAATTAGCATATTCCATAGTAAAGAGTGATACATATCTTGCACATAAATACTGAAAGCAGTAGCATGCTCCAGATCGCAGCCTTTCAATAATTTCACCAAAGCGTCAGAATAGGGAACACTAAATGGGTCATGAAAAGTAAGTGCTGACAGGTGAAGCTGAAGCCACTGTGATATTATGTGCTGTCAAGTGTTCGCTTTCCATACTATGGCTCTAAAGGGAGCATCAGGCTTATGTGTTTTTGCTGTAAAGAATACTACCAGCATGCCAAGCTAAGTGTAGGTCACCTATAAGGTGACCCACACCTCAAGTCCAGTCCCAGTTTTTGTTGCGCTAATATTCCGCCAAGATGGAAGCATACCAACTCGCCCATTCTGAGCGACGCTGATACATGGTGGCAATTATCGCTTTTGCATCAACTTCGAAAACTAGCAAGCTCTGTCAGAAGTATCATCAGAAGTTCTCTTGTCAGGTCATCATGATGGAGTGGGCACGTGCTTATACACCACATTCACACGATGCTAATGTACAGCCACTTTTCGTGAGCTCGAAGTACAAAAATAGAAGTGCACCTGCCTGTGATGTTCATTCGATTTTCACAAGAAAACGATGGCATGAGCCATGGTTGGACAGAAGTTAAATGAGGGCACTTTACCTTTGTGGACTGGAAGATCTCTTATTCAGATTCTAGTGATGACTTTAATAAAATCTCTGACATGGATCTTGATCGCATGCCAGTTCAGGAGCCCTTGGTTGTCATTTTCAGGGCACTGCTTCGTGAAGTATGCAGGGTTGTTTTTTGAAATGTCCAAATATGTTTCCTGTTTGATGTGTAGCGAGATATGTGGCGAACATGTCCAGGGACATGTGTCCCTTGCCACTCGCGAGCACAACTGTCTGGCAGGCAAACCATGTGATGCAGTCCTCTGGTGCAAAGTACTGTTCATACGCGACTGTAAGTTGACTCAAATGTTAGTCAGTCTCCCCAAAAATCACAAGGCAAAAACAGAAGAAAAACACAAAAATATGTGCAAATGCAGTTCTTCTTTGCCCGTCGTTGTCAAGCAAGCAAGCGCTCTTCATGAACTTGAATGCCTAGGCCTTGCTCACCCTGAAGTCCATTCGTGCTACTCTCGTTTCCTAAGACAAGACACTGGTTTCTTGTGTGACGATTTCATGTACCACTGGGAAAAATTCATCATTGACGTATGCTGCAAGCAATGAAAGGTGTCCAGACTTTATTTGCGAGAAACCTGGTGCTTGGTGCCAAGGGACAAAGTCTGGTCACATTGAAATTCGCCACTGTCTCGCCACCTGTTGAAAAACTCCCAGATCGCTTTCCATTACATGCTAGCATAGGTAGGCAAACTCACTCAGAGTATGATCAAGCCACGAGTCTGAGCGAGTTCGGGTGAGTAGTATTTTTGAGAGTCGGAGCCCGAGTGAGTGCGGTTGAAGAAAATTTTTGTGAGTTCTAGTGAGTTCAATCCAGGAAAATTTTGGTTAGTTGGGGGAAGTTCAAAGCGCAAAATATATTTCTTGAGGGATTCATCGTGAACTTGGTTTACAGCGCAACACTAGAGACACGAACACAAAGAAGAACACGACGGTGACGTTCAACTGATTACGCACAGCAACAGGTTACGAACCCTCAATAAATCGTGCTGCAGAATGCGAACCCTGGGAGGTACCCGGGCATGAGGGGAAAGGGTGACAAAGGCGGAAGTGATATCACATGAACACTATGTATAACCATTTTCTTATCAACCCCTATTTTAACAATGTCTCTTCTACCCGTTCTCTCTTCCAGCCATGATCGGCACCCCAAAGGGGTGCACTTATGTGAGTGTTGATCACTGATAAAAGGGCTGCTCTTCTAATTGGCAGTAGTACTTCTTGCAGTGAACAGCAACTTTGCAAATGTTGGAAAAGAAAAATTTCTCCCTGGCAAGTGCACGGAATCATTACCATACTTTCTTGCATGTAACTCACGCAAAAAATACAGAAGATCTGGAGCTGAAGTCAAAACAATTTTTAAAGCATATTAAGTACTACTTTTTACGAGGACAGGACCAGGGTCTTTTAGGAGAGGTAGTGGGGGAGAAGGGAGGACCTGAAGGCGAGGCATTTCACATTGACGCCTTGAGGTGGCACCACCAGACTGCACAGAAAACAGAACGTGAAGCATTTGCAACGCTGAGAAAGCTGCGCGTTTCATGCTTTGCTGAGAAAGGAAGGCTTGCAACTGTTTAGCTTATTTTCTCAACATGTCTCCCCTGAAATTAAGACAAGGCATAAAGAAAGGCAGACATTCTGCAAGCTTGCATGAAAATATACCCAAGCCAGCATGTGCAAACAACTGGCTTAACAAAGATGCAGCTGTTTTCGAAACAGAAGGCTTGCTAGTATACTGCCATAAAAGAGGTAAAAATGTTATTAGGTAAATTGCTTCATTAATTTGCATTAACCATTTTCATGCACGTCAGGATGTAATAGCTTTTACAATTTCAAGTCTGCTAATCATAGTGCATGAACTAACACTTTCGTAACAGAGACATAATATCATGTGGTTTTTTAGGTGTGGCTTTGTTTACTAAAGTAGATATTTACTGAAAACTAGGGAGTTCATGATTCCTATGGCAATGTCATTATAATACAGTCATAGTGGTTACCAGAGATAGTGAAATATTATAGAGCTACTAAAGCAGAAAGAAGTTGTGGTGGCTGCAGACAACTCGTAGAATAAAACAAAAACACGAATCAAGGTAAAATGTACAAATGAAAAAAAAAAGCATTTCATCTCCCTGTACTGAAGCCTTGTTCATAATCCCAGGTGGTTGAAATTTCCGGAGCCCTCCACTATGGTGTCTCTCATAATCATATGGCGGTTTTGGGACGTTAAACCCCACATATCAATCAATCAATCAAGCCTTGTTCATAGTCTTGTTCAGAATAGCACGGGAGCAGAAAAGTATTTTTTTTAATTTTGTGCTTTTTGCCTCGGTCAGCGTTTTTGTTTTATTCCACAGTTTGTCCCCGACCGGATGGGAATCCATCGTACGCCAGACTACGAACAACTCTTTATTGCAAAGGGTGCGCACCCACTCCATGCTCACAGAGTTCTTAGCTTGTATGAAAGAAGCAACATGAAAAGCTGCTTATCTTCGTAGGCAGTTTATTTTACGTTTCTGTTGCAAATACTTTTACATGCAGTAGCAGCCTGCTCTGCACCTAAAACTTGCTCAACTGTGTTGTAAGTCCTGGCTGCGCTCTAAAGCATAACCAAAGGTGCCCTTTACCACCAGCATTACGTCTACTATGCTGTGACTGCAGAGATACTCTCACTGCCCTTCTGCTCGAAGGACTCCGAAACTTTGTGTAAATTCAACAAAGCCCAGTTGAATGGTGAATTATTCGTTCATGAAGAACGCCTTCCAGCATCTGTTATTGAGGCTGTTAAGACAAGTTATCTGAAAGTAGCTCATTCAGAATCGCTTCCTGAATACCTGTGGGAAACCTTAAAACAATAATGAGTCGTTGGATCGTTGTGTGTGAGCGCATTTCAAAAATTGTTCTCCTTCAGCTCCAAACACTGTAAATATGCACTCTTGATGCTGTGTTCACTTTTAATGACGGCCAAATAGGCTGTGTGAATGTGCTAAACTATTTTTGAATTTTACCAGGGCACTGCAGAGGGCAGGGCCTACGAACCCTTGAACTGAGTCGACAGTGCTTTACAGACACGACTGCATAGCAGGCGACGAATGAGGCCTGCCAGCCAAGACGTTTCAACACAAAAATAAAGAATGATTTTGGTGATGAGTATCTGGTGCTTATTGAACAAGTTGGTCAATTTGCTGCTCAATTTTGAAGTAATGCCTATTATGAACATTGAATGCGATTATCTCAAAACATGCTTAACCACAGTATCTAGAATCATAGTTTTCTGCAAGTATTTAGAAGTAATGGGGAATATGCTGAAGCAGGGTTTGTGTGGGGAAGTACGGTTCTGCTTCACGACATCCAGTAGCTATTATCGTGTGATGATTAGGTATCTGAAGGAAAAGATTTACAAAAATGAGCATTATAATTTTCAGTGCTTTAATGAGAAGAGAAATGACTCAATATTAAATTTATAGTATAATATTTACTGTATCTTTTAAGGCTCGGAAGAAAAAGGTGCATAAACTTTGCATAAATTCATGGCAGGTGTCGTAACGGAATTCCTGGCTGACAAGATAATCAAGCAGTCATACGTATATATTCACGGCTATGTGCAATATAATTGCTTAAAAATCTATTTACTCATGCAGGATAACAGTACCAAAAAAAATAATATTGAGAATGTCTTTCAGTGTCTGTGCCTTTGTGAAACAGGGGTGCAAATATTCCAAGTGTGATGTCATCATCTTGATGGGGTAGTTGATGGTCCTGAAAAAGTACAGAATTTTAATAAAGACTACCACTGCAAGTGTTTCATACTTTATGTGATCCCTTAATTGAACACTAAACGCAAGTAATAAGTCAATGTGATTCATTGGATCAATGTCCAGAAACCTTGTACTATGCAGTACAAAAGTCATGCAAAAGAAATGCTTAATTTGAAAGGGATTCTCATTTTACTGGTACACATACCTTTAGCGCTATTTGCACTGTCCACCTCCAAGAATGGCCGCCTGATGTAGCCTTGCTTGCTTCACTGCTCGATATTCGGCGCAGTGGAGCAAGAACAAAGAACAGCCTGGCAAAAACAAAACTTGCATCATGATGGCCAGTGCAAGCAGAACATGGACAAAAAAAGGAAACTTGTATCGCCACTGGAGACTATGGGCGCGTTGGTGTTGGAGCACTGTAAGAAGCATCACGCTAGGCCGAGAATAGGGAGGGGACTGTTTATTCAGAGATCGCGCTCCAGCGCGTACCAATGGTTACACAATATAATCACTGTTTGGTGCTATGAGACACATCCCGCAAAGCCGAAACTAATCGGAGGTCTATTACTCTGAGATTAGTATTTCTGAAGTTAGGACAAATTTAGGAAAAAATAATGCGTGCTGGCAACAACTCTAAAGAACAATGGAAAAACTTAAACAAGAACACATCTGAACTAACTATCACTGAGCTTCAAATTGCTGACTGTGTCTTAGATCAGCCAATTGACATTGCGAATGAATTCAACTCATTTTACTATAATCAAGCGTCTTGTCTACCCCCATTGTCAAATCTCAGGTCCGCTCTTCGCAATTTTTCTACCTTTTCCTAACAGACCCTAATGGAATTGTCAGCATTATTCGTAATCTTAAAGTAACCTCTCCTGGACTTGACGGAATTCACTCGTCCAACATTGAGCTAATTGCCAACCATATTACCATCCCTCTATCCCGTGTTATCAATATAATTATCAAGACAGGTTCGTTCTTATTAGACTAAAACAGGCCAAAATAATACCAGTATTCAAGAAAGGCGAGAGAACGTCCATATTTAATTATCGCCCCATAGCTATCCTATCAGCTCTTAGTAAATAATAGACATGTACTGAGAAATGCATTATTAATTGTATAAATTTTCCAGTTGAACTCCTAATAAGTTTGGTTTTTTGACCTGCTTTCTCTACCAATCTCGCATTGTCAACTTTCATTAATAAGACTAGAAAAGCTATTGTGATTCAGGTGAATTAGCTCGAGCATCGTTCATTCACCTAACCAAAGCTTTTAACTCCCTCAACCACAGCATCCTGAAAACCAAGGTCTTGGCTATTGGTATTGTTAGACCTGCCCTAACACTCATCAAAAGTTACCTCTGTAACAGACAGCAGGCTGTTTATGTTCACTCTACATTATCAGAATTTTTTACTACTAATCGTGGTGTCCCTCAACAGTCCATTCTTGTTCGCTTTCATTTTTATTTTACATGTATAAGCTTCTATTGTGACTGGGGGACTTCAATGGGAACCAGAGCCATCGAAGTAACAGGTCGAAGACGGACTGAGGAGCAGGGCTGAAAACTTGAAAACGTTTATTTACAGTATTTGCATAATTAGGTAAGCTGGGACATGACAAAAAGGAAAAGCACACCCGAGCGTCCCTGCACTCTCATTTCATACCCTCAGTCTTCCCAAGATTCCCTGCGACTATGTACTATGCAGTGGAGTCCAGGATCCTCCAATAGGATTGTCGTCTTTCACTGTGCTCATGAATTATCGTCTTTCACTGCATTCACGAAGAGGCAAAGTCCCAAACCCCTCCCCGGAAAGGGAGAAAGGCACACACCGTTCGCCTTACCTGAAGGGGGCAGCACACACAAAAAGCACGGCACAGCTGGCATGGTGCGTTGACCTTGAGCTCATGGGCAGAGTAGATTCCTCCGGTTTGGCAAGGTTCTGAGATGACTCATCGAGCAGGTGTCGCCGCCGGGTAGTCTGTGGAGCGCATGAAAAGAACACTTCAAAAGGCGCTCCGCTTCCTCCGCCACTCAGTTCATTGACAGGTGCATTCTGATGACCCCATTTACGCGCAGGGGACTGGTCTTTCTAGGCAGCCCAGATAGCAAAACAGCCCTTCCTAGGTAATCCGTCCGTTATGCGGGCACAAAGGGTTTGAGGTGAGCCGACGGACATCAAGAATTCGCTGTGCTGCCGCTTTCTGGACCCTCGGGAAGCATGACAAAGTCAAAACCTCTTCATGCGTCTAAGCAGGGCTAAGACACAGGGGCCGATCACAATACTTCCGCTTTCAGTTACTAACTCTGAACCTTTCCTTTATGCCGATGACTCAACTATACTAGCCACTGATAAATAAATCGACTAACGCTAAAATTACAAAATGATCTAAATAACATTATAAGTCTTACTAACTCGCTTATTATTAACCCTACGAAAACTAAGTTCTTGACATTTCTCTCAACTAACAAAGTTCTTACCTCCCGAATTTCTGTTGCAGTAATTGACTTACTGATTAGTCCTGACACTGAATGCTCTTTCTTAGGAGTCATTCTCGACTTCAACTTAAAATACCCTAATCGTGTTATGTACCTATGCAAAAAAAAACTAGCATTTACTATTAGGATTTTAATCGGAGCATGTAATCATTTTGACACTTTGGCTATAATCAAGTTATGCTTTTATTCACAGCCGTACTAATTATTGCAATACTACTGGGGGAAAAACCTAACACACTTATCTCCCATTAAGAACATTCAAAACCAAGCCATAAGACTAATAACTTTCAGTTCATATCGTTCTAGTGCATCATCATTACTTCGAAACTTTGAGATACTTCCTACTATACTTCGTACTGTTAGTTTGTTTAGATGTCATCTTATTATCATGCTGTTCAAGTCACTGAACCATCTTGTACCATCAAGTGTCTTTTATCCTAATGCCTTGTCTAACTTAAACCGTACTAGGTTTGCTCAAAATGAAAATTTTTTACTATGTATTACTTGTACTAATTTCTGACGCTGCACTCCATATTTCTCAGTATTATCATTATTGAATTCATTGCAATCTCACATCAAACGACCCTCATCAACTGGTTTATTTAAATAAACAATTGTATCTATATTTATGAACTATCAGATTTTTTTCCCTGTTATATTACTTATGCCACTCTTTTTCTTTACTTGTTTCTTAGGCAGTGCTGGTATATCAATTTTTACTCATCTTTTTGTTTTCACTGTTACTGCTAATCGAATACTTTTTATGTAATTTTGAATAAGAGGTTCCTCTACAGCCTTGTGCTTTTCAACCTCCTCCTGAATGTATGCTTTGTACGATGTTCCCTTTTCTGTACTAATAACTGAAATAAACTTTAATCTTGAAATGCCCGACACCACATCATCTCCCCCTAAAAAGGAAAGGAGTTGAAACTCTTGCATACTTGTACAAGAAAACGCGGATGAATTTTACAGGACTAGCGCCACAGTATGCAATCACAGTCGTTTTGAACATTATACAGCGGCAAGACTCTGAAACTTTGACATATAGTAACATGCGTAAGATATACTAGTAAAAATGCAATAAATTTTTGGCACACTTGAGAGTTTGGCATAACTGTTGAAAATATCTTGCTGTAAATTATCAAATAGAACAAAATATACAGTAGTTTTCACATGTAGGAATGTAGGAGTATGGTTAAGGAACGTAATACTTGTAATGTGCCATTTTTTATGACGTCGCTTTGGACGGAGGCATGCAGGAGAATGAGGTGAAGGATTCACCGATGGAGCCTCATCCATCTCGGAAGACTTTGAGCCTTAGGGCTCACTCAGATGCTCGTCGTTGGAGAGCAGTAGCGATTCTGGAGTGTCCATAGATGACCCATCCGTACCTGGGACATCTTTCCCCCCTTCGAAATAATCTGCACTGGGGCTAGGCACATCAGCCGTTTTTTGTGAAGATGTCTGTAAGATGCTTTGTGGAAGAGTCACTAACTGGGGCGTTGTAGAAGAACATGGAGGTGGGAAGTCATTCTGTTGCATGAATGAAGAATTAGGCAGAGGAAGTGAATTCTGCTGTGAAGTTGAGTTTTGCTCTGCTTGTATAAGTGCGAGCTTTGAAGCATTGCATACATTGCCATCACTCAGGCGGAATGAATTCAGTCCAAGTTGACTAGCAATTGTATACGGACCCTTCTACTTGTTCTGCTTGCCTGGAAGACGAACTTCAACTCGGTGGCCCACTTGTAGCTTAGGAGGCTCCACACTTTAAATCAATGTGTTGCTTAGTTGCCTATGGAATACTCATGTTCTCACAGGATCCAACGTTGGCAAAAGAGCAGAAGACTTTGGCTGTAAACCTGTAATGTCGATTCTAGAACACGGTTGGTGATTATGCAAGAGTTGTGCAGCTGAAAAGTCTGTAGTAGCTTGAGGCGTAATGCAATACGTGCCTAAGTACTCTGTAACAGCATGCTTCAGTGGAGGGCATTCAAGCTTAGAGAGCTTAATTTTTTTTTTCGAACTCTGTTGAAAACGTTCAACTTGGCTGTTGGCTTGTGGATAGTAGTTCGATGAGCAAAGATTCTGAATGCCTCTGTCTGAGAGAAAAGTTTCAAGTAGGTGCAACTGGAACTGAGGACCGTTTTCTATAACAATTGCCTCAGGGAACCTTTCCCTACTGAAAAGTGCTGCCAAGAATGTAATTACCGCTTTGGAAGTGACTGCATGAGTAAAACAAACTCCCGTCCTCTTAAAGTGGTAGTCAACTAATTAATTGCAAATCTGTAGTCGTATGGAGCACGTTCGAGTGGACAATGCCCATACCTAGCTCTTCCCACGGTTTGCTTGGCCACGGAACAGGTTGCAGGGGGTAAAAAAAGGCTTAGCATATTTATTAGCTGTTTGACGTACAATATGCAGTTGCGAACAGCACGTTTAACTTGACTGTCCAAGCCAGGCCACCAGTATATTTAAGCCGTTGCTTCGTCCTGACAACTCCTGGGTGGCTTTCATGAGCCAACTGCACAAGTCTGTCGCACATTGATGTAGTAATGGTGACTCTATCTGTGCGGAAAACTAGTTTTCTACACGGGACAGCTTTAATCTGACTACAAAATAGGGCAGTAGTTCTGGTGGCAGAGATTTCTTATCTGGCCAGCCATTAGCAATGAATGCAAGAACATGCTGCAATGTAGCATCTTCAACAGTTGCCGCCTGTACGTCAACTTTGCTTATGCAAGCAGTAATGAGAGAGATTATTTCTTTTTCCAGCTCTGGACAGACTGCAAGCTGTAAAGGTAAACGAGAAAGTGCATCCACCGCTAAATTATGTGAACCCTTGCAGTACTGTACAGTGAAGTTGTAGTCGAGCCCACATATAACGGCCCTACTTATACAAACTTTCGCTTAAAGCGATCAATATCCGCATGACCGTGAAAATGTACACTGTTTCAATGACACAAAATTGCACTTACAACGATCGTCTTCGAGCACCGCCGATTGGTTACAGCGAACAGAGCCAGCGCTCAGCCGACTTCCCGGGAAACCACTTTTGACCACGGATGAGGCATTGGCGAGGTGCCCATAGCTTCTTAAGGCTCATTCACCCCGAAGGCGACGCGGAAAAGCAGCCAAGCAGGCTGCGTTGAAGCGGTGAGGCAGCAAGCGCGTGGACATGTTCAGACTGCATGCCTCTTTCAGCTGGCCGCACAGCTGAGGAGGTGGGCATCTCGGGCTTTTGCGCACGTGTCGGTATGACGTGCAATGCTTCTCCCAAATGTACACCCGCGCCACCACTGCGCCTCTGCTGCGTGCCATTCTGATTGTCTGCGGCAAAGCTGCAAGCCGCGGCAGGCGGCAGAAAATTGCTCCGAGAACGATCGCCCTTGCCGCCTAGTTTTTCTCACGCTTTTGCCACCTGGAGAGGAGATTTTTGCCACTTTCCACGTTGTTGCCACGCCACTTTGGCCGCACCGCCTTCTGTGTGAACGAGCCTTAATTCCCATTCCCCCATTCCTTGCGCAGAACTTTGGAGGTGCACGTGCAAGTGCAATGCTTTGTATTGCAATGCTTTGTATGCAATGCAATGCGATGCAATGCTTTGTATTGTTCCTCCCAGATGGCGCGACGATCTACTCACTCCCGCTAGGTCGGCCAACGGCCTGTCCAGGTTTCAGAGTGCAGTTTCGCAACTCATATGATTGAATAACTGACGATCCATGATGCGTTTGAATGAAGACCGTGCAAGGTCGAGCAGGTCGGTTCGTGCAGGAGCAGCGTGCAACCAGAGATAAGTTTTTCTTTATTTGTTTGTGTTTGTGAACACCAATATTATTTTTTTCTCCTAATCAATCACTTGCATTGCGAGTACTGTAGGTGTGGGACACGCACAACATTGCAGTGACACTGACTGCATGAACGGGGTAGGCTAAGTTCGGTGCGCCCGGTTAGTTGTTAAACAGCTGGAGCCTAACACAAAGTGGACCTAGTGAGAGGCTACTAGCGAAATTTAACATGTATGCGTTCGGTGTAGGCGGCAGCTTCAAACAGTTGTTGAGGTAGGAGAGTTAACGGAGGGGGCTAGATAGCGGGATTAGGGTTGAACTTGGGGCTGTCGGGCGCTCAATCCGATAGTCAGGCTGGCGATGGATAAGAAGGCTAGCGAAACCACGGGCGAGAGTGAGCTGTTGCAGTACGAAGAATGCAAGCGCTATTGCTCCTTGAACGAGACAGCATTCACGAATTTGGCCGACACGCGGAAGGTGAGCTTCGTGTGCAGGCTGCGCGAGGCACTGAAGGCGGCCATGCAGCGCATGGAGGCTAGCATCGAGGGGCTTCAGGGGGAGCTTAGGGTGGAACGGGGGCACCGGATAGAACTCCAAAAACAGCTCGGAGCATCGGGTGAGCGGGAGGACGCTACCGCCAGCCTATTAGAGCAAATGAAGGGCGACCTTTGAAAAGAACGGGAAGGGCACCGAGCTCAAGCAGTGGGTAAAGGAGGTAATGACGCTTTGCCACAGCCCCGAGCACTGTGAGACTGCAGGCGTGGGTAGCGAAGAAGGTGACAGGCGGGATGAAACAGGCGAGAAGGGAGGTCAGGGGGCCGCAGTGTCTGGCCAAAGCACAGAGGCTCCGAGAACATACAGATCCGTGACGGGGCAGTCGAGCAGGGCAAGAACACAGGACAGACGGCAGAGAGAGAAACAGGTGCAGCAAACAGGGGCCCTATCACAAACAAGAAGCCAGCGATTGGAGCGTAGAAGGGTCCTAGTGGTGGGGGACATTAACGTGGCCAGGGTTATGGATGGCATCTTCACGACAGTGAAGGAAGGAAGATGGGAGAGTGCGGGTGGAGGCCCAATCAGGGAAGAGCATAGTGGATGCACTGGCCAAAGCTCAGGAAGTTGTAAAGGAGAGCATGGAGGGCGAAAATCTCGTCATTATTCATGCTCGGCTCAATGATGTGTTGAAGGGCAAGGATCAGTACCTTCAGAGACTGAGGATACGATGCGTAAGCTCCAAGACGCCTCTGAGAGTGTGCATGTGACCATGTGCACAGTCCCAGATGTCTGGGGGCAGTCTCGTGGGATTGAAGGGAGGGTAGTGGAGGCCAACTGTGTGATCAAGAGTATGAGCCCGCAACTCGGGTACAGTGTAAAGGAGGTGAACCAAGACGTGTACGAGCCCAGCGCTCGCCCCTTTGCACAGTATGGCATTCACTACAGGGGTGCGATGGGTAGAAGGGTTGGCAATAAGATGTGTCGTCAAGCCAAGGCTTCTTTAGGGGGAAACAGAGCCCTAAGGCCAACAGTGTAGCCAAAGACGGTTCTAAAGGGGCAAAAATATTCAAGCCACACAGAGTTTGTAGTAGAAGTCAACGTAATCACAAGGGCAGAGCTAAGTCAGACATAAGCTATATTAACATGCAGGGTTGCAGGAATAGGTCAAAGTTGAAAGAGATAAAAGAGCAGTTCAGGCAGGAGAAGCTGATTGTATATGGGGTTGTCGAGACACATCTTCGGGACATGGAGCAACCACCTTGCAATCCGGACTACGTGTGGCAATATTGCAATAGAAAAGATGGCAGCAAAAAGGGGGGTGGAATTGGTGCATTCATACATAAAAGTATGGATTGGCAAAGAGTCAAGCAGGGATGCATGGAACATTTATGGTTAAGAGGGAAAGTAGCTGGGCAGATGACACTCCTTGGTTTAGTGTACTTGTGAACAGGACCAAAGGCCAGAGAGGAAAACCAGGCAATGGTGGAGTGTATATCAAAGGACGTATAGGAATTAGAAGGAGAGTGCAAGATAATTATACTAGGAGATATGAATGCGCACATAGAAAATAAAGATGGGTACACTGACCCAACATTGATTGATAT